GCATTCACCGAATCGTGTTCGAATTTGTGGACAGATCGCTCAGCTGTAACGCTCTACCGGTGTCTAGCTGCCATGCCACCCGAAGGAAGCGCGATGGCTGGGATACTGCCAGGTTGCCCAAGCCTAGACAGGGGAAGTCGAGAGGCAGAGATCGGGTTCGAAACACGGACCTTCCAATCAGTAAATTCGCGCTCTTACCATCTTGTAGACAGATAGGCGCCGATTAATTCCATTGGCGAACAGTTAATGCACTTGAAGAATAGCAAACGGTCCCCTCTGTGCAAGCATAACAAGCTTGAAGACGGTGAAAAAGTTGCAAGCCTTTTGGTTAAAAACATGTTAAATGACGAAGATGCCCTCGATACGAAGTGTAACATCAGTAACGAGAACTTTACACTAAGTCCTGTTTTTCCGAGACTACAAACGTGATGAAATACTGATCTTATTCCACTGGTTAACCGCGTGGTTTACTGCAGACGTACCAAGGAGGCACGGTGGCATGTTGTACTAAAATATATGCGACCAGTCTCTTAGTTGAGCATTTTGTTCTGCATTAAGTTCAACTAGAGTAAACATGCGCATCAAGACGGTTAGCTGACAACGTTGAATCTGTGTAAATTGTCTTGAACATTTATGACTGAAAAAACCTCTTCCATGTTAAGTTAGACCAGCGCCGTTTGGGCATCCGACCTGGTGTATCGTGCGTTGGGCTCACTAAACGGACCAACTCACGTCAAATGTTAACCTATTGGGCAGAGACATGGTGGAGAACAAATGAAGTCCAGGTACACAGAAGTGAGGTGGAGCAGGCATTCCCACTAGATCAGCTGACAAGTGGGGGGTCAACGGTCAGAGTATATAAAACAAACGTGGCTTTATTGTGCCCAATGGACTATCAACAGGACTTTCAAATGTAGCTCAACCTAATGCGGGGTTGGAGGGGTTAAGGCTACTCATCCAGCAGAATACTAGTAATATCATTAGTAAACAGCGAACTGTGAACACGATGTAATGTTTTCTATTTGGTTCCCGCACAAGTGTGATTATTCGCTTATCATTCAATCTTAGCTAGCTCACAGATGTTGCTTGTAACCAAGCTCTTTTGCAGTGCACTTCCGAAAGCAGTTTCTCATTTGGCAATCGTAACTATATACAAGTTGGAATACATACTTTCGACATATGCCCTCATTTACGCAAGAATTTGGTTTTGACAAGAGACTCAGCTAAGTCATCATCATCATCGGCTGTAAGAACCACTACCTGTCGTACAGTCGTCATAAGTGCCACAGTTTCGTTCACATTCGTGATTCAGGATATTGGGTAGATGGATTCGCATTGGAAGCAGCGGGAGCTGATATAATTGATGCGTAAATACAGGGTTGTCGGTGGACATTTGAGTGAATAGAATGGGAAGACAGACATGCATTGAAGGCAACAGCTTGGATGGACGGGCGACATTGAGGGCATGAATGGGTTATCCGTCTCGGGATCCCCATCCTGGGAGGCAGCAGCGACCTGCACAGCTGAGTTCGCTGGTAATGACTTCCATACTTTGTTGCTTAGTCATTGCTTGACCTCCCCAGACTGGTTTCCAAGTGGTTGTACGAATTTCCCATAATATTTCAATGACACCCATTTTATTGTTTTCTTAGAATCCTTGACTATGTGCAATCAAAAACCTTACTCCCAAGACCCATTTAGACCAAGTAAACATGGCAAATTGGTTATCCAAATGAACAACACACACGACCTAAGACCATGGGGTTTTATTCAGGCCTTCTAAGTGCTTGAAACGACTGACTTGACTGGAGTTCTTTACTGCAAGATATGCATGTCAATACGAAAGCTTCATAACTTTGGAAGGTCTAGTCAAATTTATCCCATCGGTCCTTCGGTCATTAGCATCATCACCTGCGGTCTGAAGTGCCAGCGCTAAATTGTGATGTGTGGATGATAATATGACTCGGCTGAGACGAACCAACCCATGACAGCCACGGGTGGTGGCCACGGCGCCACTGGTCCTTCGATCTTGCTGACTGGCTCCATCAATGACAATTCCTCGGATGGAATCCTCATGAGAATCGTGGAGTTTCCGGGACGGTTTCGTGACCAAACGTCAAACGCCATACTAGCTTATAGTGCACAAAGGACGGACGAATGGTCGTCTTACCTAATTAAGTTGTTGCTGAGTTCTGACCAGCGTCCAATTACGAGGGACTCACAAACGTTAGCCATGCGACCTGTACAAAGTAGGTGCTGCGCAATTGACGGCTCCTGCTTCCTTGTCATCGGCCTTGAGCCGTAGTCTGACTACTATGTAAAAATATTTCTGGAATATGCCCAAACATCTGCTGAGAAAATCATCAGTTTCGTCTGCGAATGTCTCACTACGAAGGCAAGTGGACTGATAAATAACGCATGATTAAGCATATCTCCATGCAGTTTTGATGAGGTAGGTTTGTGAATATCGACTCATTCCTACAGATTCGGTAAAAGTACTCAGGTCTCCAATCAAAGAAGATGAAGGAAATGCTGCGTTACGGACCGCGAACACTCTCACCCTAACATGATCAATCTACGAAGGCTCCAAGACAGTGCGTTTTTGTGTAGAGGTATGAATTTTCACACTAAGTCACGTTTAGACTCCTGCCAGGGCATTTCGGGATTCCCAGCGAGCCCTTTCGAGAATTTCATTGAGGTATCCCATAAAAACAACGGCGAACCTCAATGTGGAGGGTGCACATGAATTACATTTTAATTCAAAAAAACGTAGCTGAAGTTCATACAAACCACCGCACTGGGAAGGTTTGACAACTAGCAACTGTTTGTCAACAACTATTAAGAGGAGAGCAACTGACTCAGGACTCATCTTTGCCCCTGATGCGAAAGCTTACGAAAAAGTGCATCTGATGTGGCTGATGTTCACTCTGTTGCCCATTCGTTGCGAACCCTACAAGTTGTGAACAGGTTTGAATTACATGAAATTGCGTGAGATTTTCACGTCAAAAGTCGTGTCAGAAAATCTGAAGTCAAGAAACGGAGTTGATTGGCTCAGGTGAGTCGGGACAACAAAACCACCTGGCACAACGCCATCCAAATTGTTTGAAATTTTGGTTGTCGTCCAAAATAGTTTTCAGAAATTCATGGTAGATGTCTTCGAGTAGCTCATTACGAGAAACACCCAGATATTGTGCTCAAGATGTACTGTGCTTCGTTGACACAGTGACCACGTGCACGAACGTTTCTTACACACACAAGCGGATAAATCGATCCTAGACGTGTAGTAAATCGATTGGGTTAATTCCCAACAGACAATCCACCGTACAAGTGCGTTAGAAAATTCAGCGTGTATAAACCAAAGCGTTTGTTAAGCAAATTCCTGCGGCGAATGAATATTAGTCACTGTTTCTTTTGTACACTGACCACAAAGTAACAGTTGAGTCTTCGGGTTCAAAAGGCATTCTTTCGCTGAAGTGTCGCCTTCGATTTAATCACAAACGTGTTGGCAAAAAGATGAAAGTACAATCACCTTGACCCTAACGGGTACGTAGCTATCATATGATCCGTAAGGACTTTGGAGGTCCTCTGTGCCTGAACAGAAGTAACCAAAAAGATGACGGTGGAATCGATCGATCACAACACTGGACCCATGCTGCTGTGTGACGTAACTCTAACTGGTTACATTCGATCCACCCCTATGCAAATGACCGGTAAAGTGGTCGGTTCGAGCTTGATTATGAGGTGATAACCTGTTTGATACGCGTTGCCACCAAAACAGAACTCGCCACTGAGGGGGCTGGACAAGAAGCACACTGGCTATTCAGTCAACACCCAAAAATATCGCTGTTTGGTCTATCTCGCAAACGTCAACGTTTTAACAGAAAGCTGCTTTCTTCGAGGATGCTAATCTATTCCAAATGCCGTAGAATAATGCGGCCACCGTACTCTAAAAATGTTCTTGTGTTTCGCGTTTAGATCTCCAAAAGTGATTCCACAAAATCGAACCAGAGTGGTCGCAACTCCAGGAGATAGAGAAATCAGATCATTTGAAATGAACGGTTTGATTTCAAGAGGGGTGGACCACTGTATCATTCACACTACAAATAGTCGCTTGTGGCCGAACGGTACAGTACTCAACCCTCATCCGGTCTATGGCGGATTCAAAGAGAGTGGCTATGCTGGGGGTATCCGCCATTTTTGTTTGCTAAACTAAAAATTTGGGTAGAAAACAAGCCATTACCCGTTGGGACGACGTAGTCAACGTGTTTCTGTGGCGGCTGACGACAGAATGAAGCAGAGAAACAGTAGCGTTCATTTTTCATACGTCACGAAGTCCCAGGGGGTTCTAACCCCCAAACAGAAGTTTGAAAAACCCATTCAGTTATCAAGGGTTGATTGACAGTGTCGTTAGTTTTATCGAAAACGGAAAATGTAACCACTGCTCATGAGCCGTTCATATTCATTTCACTCAAACTACTCACTACCTGTGAAGGGAGGAACGCCTTTGCTGCGGAGTTAATTATTAGAAAATGCCAACTGAACAGTTACAGACTATTGGACAGAGGAGCGAAACTCTCATATGCATCTTGTTTACAAAGCTGAATATCCGTCTTCTCCTTGAACGCGTCTTCCCGAACTTTCCAGGATATTCATTGACTGTTACTCAATTGCAAGCAACTGCTACAGAGCGACTTCACAAATTCCGTAACAAATCTCACTTTTCAAGAGACTCAAAGCGGATTTAGGAGAAGACATACTACTCGCATGCTCCCCATCAGTAGTATCACCGTTGCACCTTAACCGTTGCCTAGTGGGTTGCAATGTGATAGCCAATTAGCTTGGTGGAAGGATCACTTTTCTTGTAACATTATTCAAACTTTGTAATTACCCATAAATTTTGACGCTCGATTGAAAATCTGCACACACTACACACCGTTTTGTGCAAAACTTCAACGATATGTGGGAAAAGTTGATCAGTTATGGCAAACAAAACGACCTACCTCCACTGGACGTATGATACTCGTACAAGGCAAAGCGGCCAGCAGTGAGCATTTTCAGGTCTGGATAGAATTTTTCCACCAATATGTTGACCAGCTGACATGCTGTGGTTGTGTTGGAAATGCGCAGACACTTGGCCTGATATTTCAAATCGTCTCCTTGGAAGAAAAATCGCACCACGCCATGAAATTCGTTACGCTGAAAAAATGGAGACAAAGCGAGGCGTTGTCAAACACGCGAAGTTCTGTTTTTTTTTCATTCGGCACTAGGAAACTGCACAATAATCGTAAGATGGGTACTAGGAAATGACCAACTTGTCATCCTCTAGGTATGTTGGAAACATATAGAACGTTAGAGGAGTTGCTAGTCGTTTCGATATAACTGTTTTTTTGTAATGTACTACTCAGGAGGTTGCTGAAAATCCGTCGACAGCCCACGACCGGTTTCATCCTTTTTGGAGCTCATCAGGTAGGCGCAGTCCCCGGGGTTTCCGTCAACCTTATGTTCTACTTGAAACAAAATAGCACGAAATTAGCAAAGGTGTTGAACACCTGACACCACTAGCCAACCAAAAGAAGATCCTTTTTCACTAGAAATAAACAGTGGGAAGCGTTCCGAAGAATTTTATGCGCAGATTACTTCCTTACTTAACCAACACCTTAGGCAAGAAGGAACATTATAAACGAGAGATTCAGTTGGGTTCCAGGTGGATTTCTCGCAAAACCAAATTTGTTTGCAGAGGAATAAATGACTTTACACGCGCTTGAACTGCCACGTGACCGGGCACGCGAAACGCAACGTGTGAGCTAGGTGAGCGTTTGATCGATCGAGCACTGATACTTTCGCCAAGCAATTTTCCACAATGTGCGTCTGTATTCTCATACTTCGGTTTTACAACGAGTTTACAAAAACGTCAGCACAAAAGCAAATGAAGATCTGGAAAGTAAATGTTAGGGGCTACCAGCAACAAAAATAGGAACAGTGAGTGCTGGAGCTTTGGAGATCCGAATCCATCCTTATTTTGAACTGTCAGCGGGAAAGCAAGTAGCAACAAGGGAATTGTATTTGTTCCAATCCACAAGAGAGAACGGAGACTGCTGGGAACGTGTCAACGGAATAGTGATCGTGAAATTGGCTTGGGAGAAGGTATGAGTACGTCATATGGGTACATAGTCTCAGCTTCATCAAGATTCAACACTTTCGCAAACATCCTTATTCGTTCGACTCCAGAAACGGGCTATTCCTGGGCATTCTACCCCATAATATTAATACGGCAATGCTGTTGAAGTCGATGACGGCGATAGCGGTGCTGAACAGGATGATATCGACGGCGATGATGCTGACGACATTCATATTTTATCCTTGTTATGTAAGCATAAGTAACTTTTTCTGTAAATCACTGAACACATCGTCACCCCTAATGGTCACGTGATCACATCGAACGGCAGCTGGAACAGTATTGACTGTTTCCAAACGAGCTACGAGTCACAGAATTGGTAATGATGATTCTTAATTAAACACGGGGAGTTTACTCCAACCCGAAGGTTTAGAATGACAAATGAGCAACTGAAGGCCTGAACAGACTCACAGATGCTAACTCAACATTTCAGTTTGCACTGGACAAACCGATTTAATATAATTCAACGAACACAATGGCTTCTGTTTTTTTACGCACGTCTTTACTTTTACAGTGACAATAAAAGTAATAGTTTCCAACCGCATGAGTAGAACTCAAAATCGCATCCTTCCAACCGACTTTCTTCTGTTAAACGAATACGATGCGCGCAGTTTCCATAACAATCGTATTGTTCGCAATTTCGCATTAGCAGAAACTGTCCTAACGATTAATTAGGTACTTCTTTGAATGAGCTAGGACAATTAAATAGCATCACCAAAGAATAGCAACTTTGACTTTGCAAAGATTCAGTTAGGTACAACTGTCGAGCAAAGTTTTAGTTTACAAAGAGTTCCTCGCATGAAGAACGATTTCGTTCGGTCCGTTTCCGTACAGTTAATCACCATTTGAAAAGAGCGCTCAGTCAAAGGCTAAATTACGCATATAGTACATGTAATGGGTTGTTTTGATCACCCGAATCGTCTCTAAATACCGTAGAAGCCTGGCTGTGCAACAGGCTGGACCGTAGTTCTCAGGTCTGGGATGGGATAGCAGATGAAGAGGTCATTCATATCTGGTCCAGTTTTTCCGGTAAAGATAGACGATGATTTTTGTTTTCAACTGATCCCTGCGGTTAAACATGACGTTGTGACGCACTGTTGCTGACGCATTCCAACATCTCAGCACATCTCAGCACGGTACAACCTTCCTCCGATGGTTTACCTCGCTCGGGACACTATATCATTATGCTACAGTATGTAAATTAACCAGGTACACATAGCCCGTTTATTTGAAGATTTGTCACGCGTGCACCTGCAACAAGTGTGTGTGTGTGTGTCTGTGAGGTAACGATTCACATGCTAATACAGTCGCTTTTTACCACGGGCTTTTAGAAACAGAAGCCAAAGATAAATGAAAGGTGTTATGCGAACTATTCAGGCAGTTGTCAACTTTTTCAACATGCACATGAGAAGGCTACAACAAAAGCGAGAATTCGCTGATAACAGATCAATTCACATGCTAATACAGTCGCTTTTTACCACGGGCTTTTAGAAACAGAAGCCAAAGATAAATGAAAGGTGTTATGCGAACTATTCAGGCAGTTGTCAACTTTTTCAACATGCACATGAGAAGGCTACAACAAAAGCGAGAATTCGCTGATAACAGATCACTGCTGTGGAAGTTCGGATTGAGGAGATTTTATCTTGGAGCAATAAGTGGATGTGTAGACGAGAGAGGTTACGCAGGAAGCAAGAAAAACATAGGCAGCTTTATGTATTTGACCGCATTTTTGGTAAAAACAAAGAGCGGAGAATGCGGAACACCACCACTAATAATCCGCCAAAGTGGTTAGGACAAGAGGTTTTCTTATATCTAATTCATTGATTAGAACCAAATAAAACCACTGTTATCAAAGAAAATTTAAACGGAAACAGTAACCAATTATGTTTGCGCCCACAACTACCCTTTTCTGTCCCATCGAATGTCCCCAGTCATCATATGCTCGAGTTCTGTTGAAGGCTTGAGAGGCAAATGACTGCTGAGTTTCGAGTAAACTTCGCATTGTAACAAAGCTTCTCTATTTTTTCACCTTCCAAATGGTCAAGAATGGATTGAAAGCCGGCTGATAGAAGTCCCAGATGTATGGTAAGCAAATAAACCCATCCCATATGTAACCGACCGTCTTTCCAACATGCGCCTTACTGATTTCTGACAGTATAGACAGTTACTTCATGCAGAATGCAACGTGTGATACCCAAGGCTGAATAATGCAATAGCAAATTGATAAGCAATATGTCCAGACGTGATATACTACTCATTAGGCTGCTGGAAACTCATAAACACGACCGTTTTCGCCTTATTTTTGGCTCATCGGGTAGGCACAGACCTCAATTTTAAAGCGGACCATGATAAACAAAAGATTTAGCTGGATTTAGTTGAGTCTCCGAATGCAAACGAGGTCTATCGAACCACAAATTAACAGAATTTTCCTGTCGCTAATAACGGTCGAACTGCTTAGTTCTCCAGTGTTCACATCATTCAAGAAAACTAAAGCCATTGGCAAGCATCTCCAAGCCAGGAAAACCTGCCTTTCTATACTGATCAAAGTGCAATTCTTCGAGTCCCGGCACACATATTCCGCATCTGCTGAGTCACATCTCTCTTGTGTACTTTTCGTAAACGGCTGAGGCAACCCGGCTGAACAGATGTGTTGCTGATCATGGTTTTCCTACTACGAAACTGACGCCAAATGAATGGTGCAATCCTCCAGATGTAAATGGAAGCTCTTGTCAGGAACTTAGTAGTAAATGTACGTTGGCCAGTCTAAAAAGTTCACTGATCGTGTTCAATTTTAGTTTTCCACTCTCAGCAAAAGCCAACCTATTCAGGAAGAAACAGGATGGCTTTCACGTGCACCACACTGAGGGTGGAGATATTGACATCAATCTAAAGCCAATAGCAGAAGGACAGACATCAATTGGCTGGTGTGCTTGTTAGTGTAGTTGTAAACCGTCGTTGACTACAAAAGCATGAAATTAATATGTTAATACGATGACAAGGATAAGCTTATATCGTTATTCTGTTGTTGGTGTTGCTGCGCTAAGGTTGGCCAAGCACCTTTCAGCTCTTCCAGCCCGATAGTATTCCCACGGACTCACAACTTACCTTTCTTGTAAAGATTAGTGGATTAGGTCTTCAAATAGATCAAACCGAGCATCTAAGTTGTTTGGATTAGTGATAGGGTTGAAACTATCAGGTTTCCATTGGGTTAGAGAAAATCGATGGAACTGAGACTGTGGTTACAGACGGGGCAGTGAAGAATTTAGGTGGGATTATGTATATCCGAACAAGACTAGGTGGTTTTCGAGAAATACGCTAATCTGCAAATCAATTTGGTTTTCACGAGAGACTCAACTGAATCTCCCGTCCAAGAAGGGAGAAACCGGTCGTGGGCTGTCGAAGAGTCTTCAGCAACATTGTGAGTAGTTTCCTCTATGAAAAAAGACTAGGTGATGTTTGTAATTTCAGTGAATCGGCCCGTTCGCAAGTAAATTACTCACTCCTAAAGGAGTGACAAGAAACAAGAACATCCAAATGTAATCTGGCAACGAGGATGACTATTGCAATCGAGTAAGTGGTCCTTCTCACCAAGGACCATCCAGGGGACCTGGTTAAAGGACCTCGTGGTGGATGGAGGTTCGTTAAGCTGTGTCTAACTGCCATGCCACCTGAAGGTTGCACGAGGGCTGGGATACTGCCAGGTTGTCCAAGCCTAGACAGGGGAAGTCAAGAGGCAGAGGTCGGGTTCGAACTACGGACATTCCGGTCAGTAAATTCGCGCTCTAACCACTTGGGCCATCTTGCCCTATGGGGGAGGTATCCGTTTGTGGACTCGACGAAATTCTAGATTTAGATGTTGACCGAATGGTCGTCAATTTATACACTTAATTCTTCAATGAGTCTCTTACGCTTAATTTATATGCTCTCATTCTTTGTCTACCACGTCACGTTTGAGGTGAAGTTCTCGCTTGAAGAATGTCAGACAGGGTGTGCCATTGAAGATCTAAATTCATACTTCTTT